CATACCTAGAGCACACAACACTCAACATAATCCTCAACATTCTCTATGGCACGAAAACAAACTTCCAAGATCCTTTACATCTAAAACTCATTTCGTTGACTCATGATTGGCTCAACTTTGGCACCTCTAAAAGTCTAATTTATGATTGGATCCCATATTTACAAACCTTTTTCACTGGAAAAATGTCAATTGTGCCTAGCGTTTTAGCGAGCCGCGACGAATGGGAAAGAGTTCTGGAAGAGTTATTGGAGAAGGTTAAGCGAGATGAAAAGAAGACTCCATGTGTAGCGAGAGATCTTTTGGTGAAGGTTAAAGAAGGAGTAATTACAGAGTTGGAAATTTCTCATTTGGCTATTAGTTTGATAATTGCAGGGACGGTATGTATTTTCAGATATTATAAAATGCATTTTGATTCGCATTCATTTTTTTTGTCATTACAGGAAACCACAGCATCTACTATTACTTGGATTATTGCTGCAATTGCAAATGATCCTGAAATTCAACTTCGCGCACAAAGAGAACTTGATTCGATTGTGGGACAATCAATACTTCCATCTCCTAAAGACATGACTTCTCTTCCATATATTCGTGCGATGGTCAAAGAAGGTTTACGCTGGTCACCACCGGTACATATAATTTTTCTTAATCGGCATCGCCAGCTTCAATTAAAGTTATTGCAAAAATTTTTCTTTATCAATATTGTAGATACCATTGGGAGTAGGACATTCACTAGAGAAAGATGACGAATACATGGGATACTACATCCCGAAAAACACAGTAGTGCTCCTTAACATGTTTTCGATGCATTCCGATCCAATGCGATACCCGAACCCGCATATCTTTAATCCGGATCGATATTTGGGTGTTACGGAGAGTGCAGCGACTTATGCTCAAGGAAGTTCGGAAAAGCGGGATCAGTTTGCATTTGGTGCTGGCCGAAGACTTTGTATTGGGATCCATTTGGTGAGATTCTCGTTGTTTTCTCCGAATTCAGTGTAACAGAATATGTTAATCATATCAGTACGCATTTATAGGCCGAAATGGAACTTGAAAACTTGGTCGCATCTATACTAGCAGCTTTCAAAATTGAAATTCCTCGTTCAAACGACGATGAGAATTCACCCAAACTTATAGATGTAAACAGCTATTCATACAGTGGAGGTGCACGATGGATTGACTCATATCGTGTTTGCTTTACGCCAAGAGATTGATCA